TCCCACACGGACCACCGAATCCGTACCAACTCGGACCATACCCGTACAAATCCGGATCTTGACCCGTGCCACAAAGGCCCGTGCCTATCCGAAACCAACCCGTACCGATCCAAACCATTTTTCTTATAGGGCGTATATGCAGATTCCATGCAACTGATCTGATTTCGTGCTTTGGACGTGCTATATTTCGTGCAGTCATGTGCAATCACATGTAAAATTTCTTACAGTGCAGGGAAGTAGTTGTATTGGTAAAAAAGAAGTCAGTAAATGTTTCTGTCAGTGGAATAAACTATTAGAAAAATATCCTGTCAATAAAAGGGGGTATCAGAATTATGAGATCAAGAAAATAGATTTCGCGAAGTTGGGTTTCGGTAAGTTGAGAAATTACTGCCTTAAATACCTTTCAATTTACTAAGAGCTACTGTGCTATCTTTAATCCTAACCTTATCTCCACAGCAATCAGTCTTCGGTTGTGAACAACCCGTGTTGGATAGCCACCAAATATTGCTCACAATCGTTCTACAAATATTTCTTACAATGATTGCTGCCATCACCGGTTATCCTTAGCATCATTCGATTACTTCTATCTAATATTTATCATTATGATGGGAGTAACCAACCACCGGGATTAATCTATATCTTTAAGCCTTCAGCCACCACCTTTCTGCCTCACAATATTTTTGTGGCTCGGATCAACCAGGCTTTTAGTATCGCCAAGTCAATCTAGGTCATGGGTTTAAAACTTTAACCCAGAACCTCAAGGCCACAGGTTTAAACTTTAAACCGTGTATACCTAAAACTTTTTGAGGTTCCACCTCTATAATACTGCGTCGCATTTGACTATAAAATTTTACTCTTCAACTGTGAACAATCTCTTAAAAAAATTTTTTTAACTACTATAGGCTTTATTCTTAAATAAATGCTTAATTTAATACTTGCTATTCAACTAAACCATACCTGCAAGTAAAAAACTTATTTAATACGATAAATTTATCATCATCATATTCATCAAATAAAAAACAAGCTTATTGAATTGATTAATTATCTTTATATCGTCTTTAAAGAAATCCAGCTTAAACAATATTCTCATTTTTATTTTCGTAAATAAATTTTTTATTATTATGTAATACTGATATTATTTTTATCATAAAAATATGTAAACTGAAGAGTTTGCTAAATAATCTTTATAAATATATTTGCTAAACATTTTTTTTAAAAGAATAAACAATTTCCGATTATTAAATGACATACGTTATTTCAAATTTAAATTAATATTGAGAAATAACGAAGAATAGCATTACAAAATCTGATCTTTAATGAAATTTTAGTATCAGATCTAGCATAACTTTTTGTCGTGAGCCCGGTCCTAGTGCTCGGCACAATCAAGCAAAAAATTGATAATCAAATACTTGTGATTAAGTCGAACGTCAAACTATCGCGGATTAACCAAAACTAAATATATAGTATTGGTGATCTGTGATTTGATCACAAGTACTGTAGATTTGACTCTCAATTTTTGTATATCCTCGATAAATAATTGATTTACTTTATGATTGTTCACTGATAAACCATTTATTGTTACAGTATCGTTATTTCTTACGCTAAACAACCTGATTATCATTTAAGCCAAAAAAAAAAAAAACCTGGAGATACGACCACCTATAGTTGTTTTTATTTGCTGACTTTAAAATTCACATCTCGCACTATAAATTTGCAGCATAGTGTTTAGAAGGGTCACTTCAATTAATTGCATTGGTTGGGTGACATCCAGATCACTAGAAAATTATGTTAAGGGAGCTTCATGAGAACACACTGATCTGTGGGATAATGCGTTCATAAACACTGATTTTACATGGTTGATTATTTAATAAATAATAAAGATTTTTAAAATTTTTAGCATGCTTATGGTTATATTTGGACGATCAACAAATTTTATTCATTCGTCTTTGATAATCAGCGATTGTCATTAATCAGCCCGATAAAGTCTCCGAAGAAAAAAAAAGAAAAATAGAAAGATCTAGAAAACAAGATGCGTAGTCATTTATATAAATATTAAAAAAATTGTATTTTTACTATCCATTATTATTTATTATTACTAATTCGCATGTAAAAATTGCTATAACGGACTTGCACACACCATTTCATACTTTATATGCATAACCATACACCTCGTTTCACCCGTTCCTATCTTTTGATCCAAGCCAATTGATAATGCTTATAAATTTTGGGGTACAAACAAAATTAGCCCAGATGAATACTGGTAAAAAATAAATTATCATTATATGATCTAAATTCCTTGACAAAATAACAAATCTCTTTCATTTAACGAAAATTTAAAAACAGATCCACCAAGCCTAAAACATGAATCCGTCTCATAGGGACCACGAAATTTTGACTTTCTTGAGCTTCCTTCAACTTTCGCATGAACCCAATACTTTTCATTTATATTATCTATTAACTCATAACCATCAATACAATCTCTGTAATCGTTAGAACCATCTCCGCCTATGCGGAATCCTGCGGCATTTTCTATCCATACTCTGCACCGTAAACCAGTCGTATCAAAAGTTACATTGGCACTCCATGCTGTATATAAGGCGTGATTAAATTATTAGGATAGAGAACACAATAAACAGAAAAATTATGAAAAACTTACCTTCAATCATTGAAACAAAGGCTAAGCGGATAGTGATAGTAATAAGAAAAAAAAAGATTGGAAATTTCATATTGTCAGCTGGATTTTTATATCTTTTTTTGAGTTGCTGTGAAAGACAAAATTTTAATATCTTAATGATTTTAATGATTTTATTTTCGACGCCCATTAAGAATATATATATATTTTTGGCATGAAATTTCAGTTCAGCTGATTCTACTGTTTCGTTGATAATCGCTTCGTAAATATTTCATTTCACAGATAATTGGTCACAGATTAGTTTATTTCATGGACAATCAAACCACAGATAAGTTCATTTAATAGACAGTTAATTTCACAAAACAACTCATTTACAAATTTATCTGTGATCAAGCTGTCGTTGAAATAAAATTATCCGCAAATTGGTTGTCTAAGGATACCTTTAGTTTACTAAAACCAAAATTACTAAAGTGGAAAAATCAATAAAAATAGTTAAACTCTACGGATGTTAATTGGTATAATCTAGTTCAATGTCAGACTGTCGATACCAATATCAGATCAGAAACGGACAGGTTTAGAACAAAAATTTACTCATTCTCGAAAGCTTTAGATTTGTACTAATAATCTTGAAATCACAAATTTTCTAGTATTATTATTTGCTGAGGGTCGCATATTTTTGTAAAGAGTAATAATTACTCGGATGAAATTTTTAGTATTGGAATTTAGATCATCCTAAGATTTCATCAACAGATTGGTTTTACTTGCAGTAAATATATTATCAAATATTAAAAGAGTCCCTAACAATTTTAAGGTTAGTATTTTTGATTTAGAGATATAGTTCCGAAAAATTTTTTAGAAATTGAGATGATCAATTCTTATTAGCATCGGAAAATATTACCAAAAATTATTATTATTATTATTATAAAATAAAATAAATATTGTGTTTCAATTCGGGTGACCCATCGGGTAGACTGCCAGGTTGAACGCTAATAATATAAAAGGTTAGAAGTAAAAAAAGTGTCGATTAATTTTGACTTGCCAAAAAAAAAAATTCATATCGATATGCCAAAAAACGATCAACTATTAAATACTAATAAACTACAGTCAAACCTCTCTATAGTCACCTCCTATATAGACACATTTTCTTTGTAGGCGCTTTTTTTTAAAAACAATCTATATATTATTAATTATAATAAATCTGACCTCTATAATTGTCACACTTCTTTACAATCACACTGTTTTGTATCCCAAGTGTGTGATTATAGAGAGGGTTGACTGTAATTCAAAGGATTAAGATTGATGCGCATGTTGCATATGACCTGCATATATAGTTTCTATATCTACAATATTTATCATTGATACAATATCAGTATTAGGGCTGTTAGTTTCCGTCTTGTTCCAAAGACTGATAGTCTTTTAAAAAGTTAGACCGGACTTGCGGTCCAGGACTGATAGGGCTGTTATGAGACTGGACGGATTGATTGTTAGACTAATTAATGCCACATAAGTTGCACCAACTATTTTATGTATTACAGTCTCGGATATTACCAAATTTATAAATATATATATATACTATCGCTATAGTTATACATTTCTAGAATAGTCTTTATCTGATTTCCATATTTGATACTGTATTATTACCCATTTGGGTTATTGCATAGTAAAACCATGCTTAAATTATATATATTTTATACGTATGTTATAAGCATGGTTTGCTGTGCAACAACCCGTTTATTATTATAGACTCTTTTCAAATTATTAGCTTATTACTAACCTACCTATTATTATTATTATTGATAGCATGCGCGCGAATTTTGAGAATAATGCACATGATTTTCGTATGCACATTTAATGAGCCCTGTATTGTAAGAATATCTGCTGTAGGCAATCATTTTTTAATTAAATATTAGATAAGCATGTTTAATTTTTTTAAAAAAACCTGATATCATAATAAAATAGAGATTAAATAAGAAACCCGATTTAAAATTTTCAAATTTACTAGTGTTTTAGACCCATTGTTTAACAATGGGCTATATGAGAATAGATATGGTATAGATATAGGTTGATGACCCTAGTCCAGCGTTGGCAATGGAGCCAATGGAGTTAAATGGTTACGTGAATGGAGCTCAAAATGATAGCATCCACTGGCTCCATTCAGAGCTCCTTTAGGCTTCATTGAGTTCAATTGCCGTCTCTGGCCCTAGTTGTATACTCATAATATCGTCGAATATTGGGCGTTATCATCAATCTAATTACATAATGCAGATGATATTGTGATGATTCATTAACTAAGATTTTATAATGTAGGAAGAACAATTGCGGATGTTGAGCAATTTAGCTACGATAGTTCACTTAGCCGAGTATAAAAATCTATCGTTACAACTTGTACATGTGATATGATGCCACGAAATAATTTACAGTAATCGAGGTCTTGTAACCACTTAATTAGATCACACTTTAATTAATTGGGGTAATTATCGTGCAAACTCTTATGACCATGGATTTTTTTTCTTCTTGCTACAGTAAAACCTCTATAAGTGCACGCCCTTAGAACCAAGCTTTAACAACGTGCACTTAGAATCAATAAGAGAAAATGCATTTATAGGGGGCATGTATATACAGATAATCCTCTCTAAGTGCATCCTCTATAAGTCACACACTCTCTAAATGCACACACAAATTCTGGTGCAAATATATACATGACCTCCATAAATGCCTTTTTCTTGCTATTCTCTAAGTGCACGTCATCCCGAGTGCATGCACTTAGAGAGGTTTTACTGTAATAAGAAATGCAATACAACAATAAACGCTACAGTAATAAAACAACACAGTAAATTATGGCTCATGGAGATATCGATTCTTATTATAAACCATTATTAAAAGCATAGATTTTTCTGTCTGATCTGGAGAAACTTTATTAAGGCGAAAAACCCAAGCTTTAAATACATTTTAAATTACTATGAGCTATTGTGCTATATTCTGAAGCAGCATTATGCGCGGGCCGATAATAGTGATACGGGCCGATGAAAAAATCTCGGGCCAGGGCCGGCCCGGGCTTGGGGCGGCCGATCAGGGCTGACCTTTTTATGAATGGCTGGATAATTTTGAAAGATATCAAACTTTTCTCACTCTTTAAACATCGATTCGATCCATGGTCAAATAACCAGTTTATCTCGCATCATACGATTATATTCTATCTAATGCTTATCGTATGTTATATAAACAACCACGGGTTTGATCAAGGTATGAGTTGAGTTAATGGTAAATTTCAGACATTTTGTCTACTTTTTTTGACCCAAAATTTTTTTAAATTCTGGCAAAAATAAAAATTAAATTTTAATTTGACCCAAAATTTTTTTAAATTCTGGCAAAAATAAAAATTAAATTTTAATTTGACCAGAATTTATAAAGGGTTTGAGTCAAAAAAAATGTTCAAAATTAATAATTGTACTCTTTTAGAATTATCCGAGGTCTTGATTGATCTGTATCTTTAAGCCTCGCAACCTCACAATATTCTGTGCTGCAGATCATAATACAGCCCTGTCACGGGTCAAAATTTTAATATGTAGTGAATTTTTCATACCTGCACACCATATTAAATGATTATAAAAATAAAATTGCTGCGCCTTTAGTTCCTCACGTAATTAAATTTTTTTTAATTATATAAAACAAATTATCTAATGAAAGTTTTTTTTATACTGTAACCTTGTCAGAATTTTATCTTACTAATTAAATTATGTTATGCCTTACCGGGGTGTCTCCTATCATGCAATTTATAAACATAATGCAGACCACATAGTAAGTTGTTGGCCTAAAAATTTGACTCTTGAGTAAGTAAACGTAACTTATATAAGTAAACATATATTTGCTAATTACTCTTAACGTGCTTTTTAAAGTAAAACCACTATTTTTTTCTTTACAGTGTATAATACGTATAATTAATAAGGTGAGAATTGATTAATAAATCTAATAAAAATGATAGTTATTTGTTTAAAGAGTACTTAAGAAGACTGGCAATTATCTCTTAAGCCGTTTGAAAATCATGCCAAATTTAGACTGAATTATTAACCCTCTTCAATCTTTTTTGCTCGCACATCGTAGATTATTTCCAAATAAGTTTAAAGTTGAATACGTATCTTTTTTCTTATTGGCTTCGTCCTTACTCGTGATACGCCACATTTCCTTATAAGCTAAAACGGAAAAGATTTTCGTCGAAAAATTTTATATTATCTTATATTTATATATATTATAGCGCTATATTGCTCTATATAGAGCTATATGCGCTATATAGAGCTATATAGAGCTTATGCGCTATATAGAGCTGTTATGCGCATGCCCCCAAAAATTTTTTATCGTTTTCAGGTTGTATTTATATTTTTTTTTAGTCGCATAGCATGTCATATGAGTTAATATACACTGTGTGTTATAGGTTTCGCACAAGGAAACTCATGATAGCTTCAGTCTATGCTAGATTTTTTTTTTTTTTTTTACCTGACTTTTTTCATTTTTTACTTACTTTTTTTTTATTTTGCGAGAGGTAAAACGGCATTGACTTTAGTAAATGTTATTTTTACCTTTTTGATACAGTTGTGTTGATTTTAAAAGATATATGTCAAGAACGTAATTTATGCAGTAATTAATTACTTATGTCTGTCTGTCATACAAACCTTATTGTTGGAATTTTATGATTCTTAAAATCGATCTGCATATATTAATTTAATTTTTCCTAATAAGTTACTGTTGATGTTTATCATGTTCCAAATATATGTGTAAACTTTTCATAGTAATCGTCTAAATTAAACTTTACGTTCATTGCGGCATTTGAGTTTTGTGGCATGTACGCGTTGCTTATTTTTATTACAATAGAAGAGTTTAATTAGAAAATCTGATTTTGATAGAAATAAGTATTTTCAAACTAGTGATACGCAACTTTTTTCATTTTCCAGCCTCTTGCTATGTTAATTTTATTTTCATATTGCTTACATCGGGGCATGTTTACTTTTTTTATTTTTTTTTATCTATTGTCTCTGTTTATTTTTAATGACATAGTTCGTTATTGTCGTGAAGATGTTAAATTTCTATTATAATTATAACTTAATTAATTTTAATGTTCAGTATTAAATTTTTAAACCTGTTTGGAAATTATATGTAATTTAAAAATATCCTTTCATCTTGATTTAAATAAAATATTTAATTGTGCTTGGTGTTCTATTTATCGAACTTATTACTGTAAGTACTATAATCATGTAAATTAAGTGATGCTGAGCCGATATTATATTATGTGCCAAACAATATATATATACCCGTAACGTAAAACCATTCTCGTAAAATTTCAGTATTCTTTAATTCATTTAAAATATTTAAAATGCCTTTACACGTTACGCTAATCGTTGTTATATCTACAAAAGAGAATTATAACTCTCTAATGCAAGGCCTTGCTAAGTATCAACCTGATGAAAATGATTTTAAGATAATTCGGTAGAAATATTTTTACCCTTTCAATAAACCTTATATTGAATTTTCAGTTGGG